TTCCACCTGAGTGTACTCGGGCTCTATACGCCTGATATATGTGGAGGATGTAGGAGTGACCACAAAATCTCTTGTATCATCACGAGAAACTCCAGCACGCCGGCACAAATCTGTGATTAAGACTGGGAATAAAAGGGACATCTGGCGCTGTTTGGCCATCATGGCCATCTCCTGCTCAATAATAAGTCCCAAGTTGAGCCACCTCTTGGCTAAGATTGATCCTAAACAGGCTGCATTTGCATGACGGAGCATGGATTCGTTCTGCAAAGGCATGATGGAGCTGCTGATCAATCCAAACCAATACTGTGCACCTACATTCAAATCATTCTTCTCTATATGGACTCCCACTTCAATCCACCTCGGGGTGGTATCAGAAATAAGTGGGGAAAGCCAGCCCTTTAGGTCATCCAGGGACTGAGTTGTCACCAGGCCCTTATAGTCATGCTCGAATCCTGTGGCTCTCTCAATGGCAGCATTTATGAGATCCCTACAACACCCGACTTCTTTACCTCACACCATAACCGACTTCATCGGTCTGAAGGCACTGGCCTTCTTTTTCTCCTGAGGAACCAGATCACCGTAAGCAGAGTAGAACTCACAGACCCAGGTGGGATATATGGGCCTCGAGTCCTGGTAAAGATATGGAATCTGTGCCACTGGAGTATCTACCCTCTAGGCCCTCCGTGGATAGTAGCTTCTCCTCTAAAATCGTCCTCAACCTGTCGGGTTTTAATCTATTGAGTAGCCTAGGAGGAGGAATTTGTTGTACTGGTGGCACTACGGCCACAGGTGGTGCCGGAGCTGGCACTGTAACTGCTTGAGAGGAGGCTACTGGAGCTCTCGATGAGTCAGGGGAAGACCTAGCACGGATCTCCGCTCGCCTAGACTGTAGTGGTTGGTTATCATTTGGCTCAGAGAACGTAGTTTGGGAGTCAAGGGACTCTCCCTTGTTGCCGAAGTTGTGCTTCGAAACCTCAATCATGGGCATTTTGCCCTTTCCCTTGCCTCTGTTTAGAGTCTTTGTCATTCCTTTTTTTGGAGGATTTGCTCCCCCTTAATTGATCACTATACCCCGTGCTCTTTTATGGGGCGGCATATCGAGGTTAGTCCTAGCCATATCTGCAAAAACATCAAAAAGAGTTTGAATCATTTCATGAAAAAAGTTGTAGAAAAATAGTTGCAAACAGACTTGCCGAACCGGTCAGCGAGACACATAATCACTTTGGCGAGCCAAACTGGGCTCGCTGAAAGGACTACCTCAAAATTTCCTCAGACAAATGGTATGTTGGCGATGGTAAGGGACTTTCAGCGAACCGCCGACAGCATTCGGCGAGCAAGGACCAGCCCGCCAAAATTTACAGTGCCTTTTAGGGACTAAGGTCGCAGAAAGAACGATCAAGAAAGACAATCGGCGAGTCGTCAAGTGCACTCGGCGAACTCAAGCTTTTCGCCAAAAGTTACAGAACCCAAAATCAATTTTAGAATGAAATTATAGGCGATCAAGAGGGGTTCAGAGAACCACCGAGTGGTTCGGCAATCTCGATTCAGCTCGCCAAATTGCCCAACGTGCCTACTTTCTACCCCGACTTCCAAATTCAACCCCGCAGCCACCGAAAACAAAATCAAAACATGCACTCAGTCAATTAAACCTAGACCCACAAGACCCATGCCACCGAAATACTCAGACTTCTCCTGGTTTGGCCAAAATTGGCCATTTGACGATTTACGCCGTTAGGAATGATGTCAAACGCTCTATCATCGGGAAAAATACGTCATTTAGCACAATTAAAGGTTACTCAGACTTTACCCGACTAGACCCAACATCATTTTAGCACAACCCAACAATTTAGATCACTTTTAAGCATGAAAATTTCAGGAAATCAATGATTAATCATTTCAGGCAAGACTACGAATTCAAAACAGGCAAATAAGCACACATTTATGGATCAAAGAGGTCCAACAAACTTCACCAACATAAGAACAATTACAAAGGAGTAAAAATCGCTAAATACAAGTTCAGGGTTCGGAAAACCAACCTTTAATGCCGAATAAATCAGTTGAAATGCTAGGCGGTAAAGATATTTGACTACAAACACAAGATTGACGACTATGAAGTGGTAAAAACACAAAAATAAGAGGAAAATAAAGTGCGGATGTGAGTTTGGAAAGTTGAAAAGTGAGGGAATGTGAAAGAGTTTGAAAGTTTAAATCTCTGGCCTTTAAAAACCGTCCAATTCTCGCCCATTCGGCGACATTAGTTTTACTCGCCGACCCGCCGAGTGGGCACTTACCTCGCTGAGTTTTATAGGACCTTCAGTAAATATGGGGGTCCAAATGGCGGACAAAGTCGTGGTCGCCGACCTGTTCGATGACACACCGATTTGCTCCTGGGCTTGCCGATTTTTATAGACTCCAACTTTAGAAGTTCTTGAGTCCAATAGCGGTCCGAGTCGGGCTCGCCAACCTACTCGGCGAGTCAACAACTAAGCTTTTAGCTCGCCAATCACCACTTTTCAAGCACATTCCATACTTTAACCTACACAATCAACACACGATTATTTCTAAAACAAAAATAAAGAAAATAAAACTTGGGTTGCCTCCCAAGCAGCGCCTTAGTTAACGTCGTGGCACGCTACAAGTGCACGCTCAAACATCATTCTTAGGGTTGGCCATAGTCTCACTAGGCAACCCCCCTTGTTGTCTCGGGTTTAAATGAGACAAAATCTGACCCATCTGGGTCTCCAATTGTTTGATAGAGATGGAATGAGAAGTAACCCTCTGACTAAGGGTTAACACATCTTCTTTCATCTCTTTCAAAATTTTATCAGACCCCTCAACCTTGTTGAGAATACGAGACAACATATCCTCAGACCGGCCAACCTCGGACTCCTTGGGCTTTTGGCGCTCGTGGGGAGGAATGTACCTATCCTTCTCCCCATCCCTTTCCTTCCAAGTAGGGTTACAATCCCTCCACTCTCTATCACAATCTTTCCAGCCTTCATCCCTGTTCCAACCTTGGTTGGCTAGGAAGTTCACCTCTTCATTGTACAACACCCACAACACTTACATTTCTTGCACCAGCTCTCATGACATTTTTGGACAAAATGTCAAGTTGGGTCATGATCTTGGCCATGTTTTGGTCCCTCTCTTGGTCTTTCTCAAGCTGCTCCTTGGTCAATTTTAACGTGAGAGAAGAGACCTGATCTTCGCGGGTGTACTAAGCCCGATTAATTGTGGCCATACCATCCAAGAGCTGGACTGCTATAACGTAAGGTTGTTACATCAAACCTCCCGGAGAAAGTTGGTCAGCTACACCCTTGTTCACCGAATCAAGGTTTCGGTAGAAATACTACAACAAAACGTTATCGGGCAAACCATGAATTGGGCATTGCAACACCAACTTCTTGAATCGTAGCCAAGTCTCAAGAATTAGCTCACCCTCCAAACTCTTGAAGCTTTGGATGCTATCCCGAAGAGTCATCATCTTCGAAGGAGGGAAAAATTGCACTTGAAATGCGGTGACAAGCTCTTCCCACGAAGTGATTGAGTCTCGTGGAAATTCAGCCAGCCACTTACATGTTTCTCCCATTAAAGAAAGCAGGAACAACCTCAACCGGACCGACTCTTGGGATATGTTCTTGAAGGAGAATTGCCCACAAACATCAACAAAGTTTCTAATATGTTCACGGGGATCCTCATGAGTCAGCCCACCAAACAACCCTTTCAATTGCAAGAGCTGCAACATAGTACTTGTAATATGGAACACAGCGTTCCCTTCAGCCGGAGGCAAGCGAATGGCACCAATTCCACCCATAAGATGAGGGTCATTAGCATTCGGCTCATTGACATCGTTGAGGTTACCGATGTCATCTTGGTGGCCCACTTGGCCACCATTGCTTCCGTTCACACTCATACTCTCTGTTCAACATAGCAACACACAAACCAAAACTAAAAATAAGTAGAATCAACTATGACTAAAAAGAACAAAATTCAACTTAACAAAAGAATCTCAAACAACACCACTCCCCGGCAGCGGTGCCATTTTGATTAACGTTTCAAGGACACTTCATCCAATTCTAAGTGTCAACGATCGCTAGTCAGTATATAACCCCAACTAAATGAGTTGGGGTCGAATCCCACTGGGAGTGGTACGTGTTTGAGAATCAATCGAAAAGTATGAATATGATGAAATTAGTCATATGAATAGACATTATCAAATAAAAACATAACTCAAATTAAGGGGTGACACATATGTCAAATAACATGGGGGGTTTTGGTTTCAATTATCAACTACACAACAAACAATACGAAAATGACAATAACGAGACAGGTTCTTGGGATGTGATTCGATTATAGGCTAATGTAGATAAATGGGTTATTGCAACTTGTTGACACCCAATTTTGACCGACCTTTAACCCTTTTTAGGAATGTTATCCGATTAAATACGTATTTTTTAAAAATATTTCGAGTTCAAGATTTTAGTCGATTTTGTCTAAAAATTATATATTTTAGTAAGCTGGATTTCTTAAAAATTTATGGTAATTATTATTAAATGTTTTTATTATTATATTTATCGATAGTTAAACTCGAAATAATTACTTATTTAAATGTTTTCAGAAACTTAGATGTGTATAATGTATATGAAAATATTTTTTAAAATATAGTATTTATTAATCGGATATCAATTCCTAAATTTTCCTCCAAATCATTTAATTTTTAGCCTAATTCTATTCTAATTCATTTCAATTCTAGCCATCCAATTTCAATTTTATTTCAATTATAACCATTCTTTCATTTCAATTCTAGCCAATTTTATTACAAATTTGGCCTTTCCAATTCTCAATCTAATTTTCAGAATTTTAATTCCATTTAATCTCATCCGTCCATCTTTTAAGTTAAATCCTAGCCGCTTATTTAAACTAATCCTACGGTTGAGATCGAATCCTCCTATTTCCTTTTTTAAAACAAAAGACTCCTAAACCTAAAAATCAATTCTCATTCTTCTTCCTCTCCAACACAGATCAGCCGCCTCTCCTCTCAACTCCACCGACGATGGCGAGTCTCCGACGAGAACCAGAGGAGAGGGAGGCCGATCTCCTCTCCTCTCCGCCTTCTCTTCCTCTCTCCTTTCTCCCTTTCTCTTCTCTTTTCTCTCCTCTCTTCGCAGGAACACCAGCAGCAGCAGCCGGACAGCAACTCCAGCAGCTGGCAGCACTCCGACCAGCGACCAGCAGCGCCAGCAGCAGCCGGACAGCAACTCCAGCAGCTGGCAGCACTCCGACCAGCGACCAACAGCGTCAGCAGCAGCCTCACGGAACTCCCGACGAGGACCACCAGCAACACCAACAGCAGCTCCAACCAGCGAGGAAGAGAAAGCCAGCTGCTCCGACCAGCGAGTCACCAGCAACAGCGAGCTCCGGTGGACATTTCTTTTGGGATTTCAAGTGTATTTAAGACGGATCTTTGACAGATCCGTCCAGGTGCGCTCCTCTTTCTCAATTATCATCTCTTTTCGGCTAAACATCTTTCATTTTGTTTGGTGTGATCTTTACTTGTTTAAGTATATGGCAAAAGCATGTTTAGAACATTTTTTTTGTGGGTTTTATTATTTATTTTTATTTTTTGTTAAGTCTATGGCAAATTCATATTCAAGCATGGGTCCAAAATGGTGATACAAGCTGATGCATTTACATTATATATATATATATCATGTGGGAATGAAGTCGGTTCATTGCTTCTATTGTAATCTGCCGATTTGCTATTCAAATTCGTGATTGTTGCTACTATTGTGGTCTATCCATTTCGAATTGGGAGACTATCGTATGTTTTGATCTTGATGCTTAGAAAATATATCTAAGGTATAATTTCTCCATTCAAACTTCTTGTTCGCTGTTTCTATTGTGATGACTTGAGCAAATTGTGAAATTTGATTTAGTTGGTTTATCACAGCAGGTTCAAATTCTCAATATTTTTCTTCCTTGTTTATATATATATAACAGATTTTAGTGCTTATTTTCTCCATGAGAAAAATCGTGATTCAAGTCTTAATCGATTGAGAATCATATTCGCTCTTCCTAGAATAACTATTTAGCTTCTGTTATTTTTCTTGATATTTTACATTACTGATTTGTCGCCGTGAATTTGTGTTGATCAGCTCTTTCCTCATATTTGGCTGTTAGGAATTTTAAATGATTCCATGTTTTGCTAAAATTAGTCAATTATGCGTCAAGATCCTTTAAGTTAAGCCGAGATATTAGACTATTTTAGATGTGCTTGATTTACTGTGCATATGGTAAGATTTTAATTTAATAATTATTTATGTCCCCGTAAATCTTTTCTTCATTATTATATGGTGGATTGCCTTAATTGATTTAGCTTTCTTTAAATATTTGTCTTGACATGTTTCTTATATTTGGTAAATTTAATAAATATTAGGCTGATTTACTCCCTCCGATTAAGGAAAATTAGTGTTGTTAATTGATCCCCCTTTTTATTTCTTTCCTTTTTTTGCCCGTACTTTAGTGAATATAAATAGGAGCCCTCCCTTCATTATTCACGGACTCACATCCGGATATTGGCTGACACTCTAAAAAAAAAAGAATACTAAAAAATATTGCTCTCTACTTTTTAAAAAATTTAAGCTTTTCGGTAAACATAAAGGTTCCTCTCTGTGTTGCTGTTTTGCTGTGTTCGGGTCTGGTATCTGATTAAGTTTTATCTTCATTGCTGATAAATAATTCTGCATAATTGGTTAGTTTCCTTCCACTAGTTTAATTTTTGCATTGTTCATATTTTATGTATGCTTGAAATAATAGAGGAAGCATCCGGTTTAGTTCTCTTATCCCTTTCTTTCTCAATATGTGATTAGATATTCTCCACAATTTGTTTGAATTCTTACATGTCCATACGCTGCTTGTGTACATGAATTAGTTAATATTATGTGTGTGCCCAGGAGTTCTACCATTTTTGTTATATCAATTTGTCTTTTTTTTGTGTTATCATTACTTGCTCCTATTTTGTTGCATGTTAACAGGTTTTGAACTCAAAGTTCAAGATATTGAAGAGTTGCCATGGAACGAAAACATTAGACAAGCTAAATTTGTTTAATTTGGGTTTTATATATTATTTAATTTCTATTATTGTCTTGTAATAATTGTAAACTCTAATTCTATATATATGATATAACTTGGGGGATCGTCTAAGGGGGAGGGGAGTATACGTGCTAATTGTTTCTTTTCTATTTCTAGTCTAGTTTATTTTTGTCTATGTGTGATTGCTAAAACATGTCTACGTTGCTTAAATCGTAAACCTTGCAAGCATATTAGAATATATCTTAATATGGGCTTAAAATCAACCTTTGTTTATAATCCTATCAGATTAATCAACTTATCATGAATATATGTTTAAATATTGCTTGATTTTGAATTGGTAGAATCTGGTCTCAACACACTAATGTTGTTAAATTTTGGAAAGTGATTAATGACATTTAGACATCATGCCTATAGGATTTTAATATAATAAATTCGAGCAAGTCAGTTGGTTTATTTATTTAGAAGTCGTGTCTTTAGGTCTAGATTAATATCTGCATGTCAATAAAATGTCCGGAAATGCATAAATTCTTGCCCGCCATAAAGTTATGTCTATAGTGTTTAACAATCGGTCTAAATGAAATAGATGCCCTGCCTATAGGTTTCCTTAATAACATCATGATCATAAGGTTTTTTTTTACTTTATCTATCATTTGGAGTTTAGAAAAAGTCATGCCTGTAGGTGTTATGCAATATTTTGATCTTTCAGCCACACTCAGAAATCATATCTAGGATATAATTAATAAAATCAAAATTATTCAGCTTGTTAAAATCACCCATTTTTTCAGCATGTTTAATTAATCACTAAGCAGCTTTAAGCATGTTAATCATTTAATTAGCATATTTATATGCTTCTAATAAATTTCCAGCATGTTTTTAGTCTGCTATGAATATTCTCTATCAATAATTTCCACTTAAAATAAATCAATTTTTGCTCCTGCACGTTAACTGCGATATTAATTTGTCTACCATTTAAAATAGAATTATTAAATCACTCTCTTGCAATATTAATTTTTTTGTCTCTTTTCGTTTCTTTTTTTTTAAAATCAATTGGTAACTAAAATCGGCTTTCTGTAATAATTTCTGCAACCTTTTAAAATAGTCTGATCTGCTACTGCATAAATAACCTATTTTCTGCATAACATGCTATTTAAATTTGCTGTCCTAATTAATTCTACCCGAAATATTTTAGTTTCTATATTGAATAATTGTTTTGCCACCTCTAATCAACTAATAAATAATTCATGCATGCTTTATTAATAAAATAAACAATTTTTGCTTTGCGTTATAACTATCTGCCCTCTTATAAGTTTTTTTTGTTATATTGTTATGTTTGCTTGCTGCCTGTTTATATGCCCACACACTAAACATGCGACCTTTTCCACATTATTTGTGTATGCCAACATGTTTAATAAAATCTAGAGGCCAACATGAGACTCTATGTGCTAAATGCTCGTCCAAATTGTTTGACTTGGTGTCTAGGTGGGCCTATTATATTTTATCTTTGTCTAAATTCACCCTAATAGTGTCCAATGCCTCTTGGACTTTAAGCGGGGACGCTAGACACCTTTTAGAGACGAAAAGCATGCGGTGGTGGGGTAGGGGTAGTCTAGGCCCTATGGATATGATGACATCGACTCGGTCCAAATGACAAACCTTGGTTTTGTCTGTCCCTACACAGAAGCCTATTAAAAAATAAAGAAAGTAGAGTGCTGATCCTAAAGTCCTTCAGAGTCTCCCTGTCCTTTTATCCCTTTATGTGTTTATATTTATTTGGGGTAGTTTAATAAAAATAAAAAATGTTTATTCTATCTAAATGTGTGTAAATTTCTATCCCCTTGCTCATCTCTGTATTTATTGTGTAATATTTATTTATTATATCATCACTTAGTCTTGCATGCCTATTTAACTAATTAAAATAACTAAAATGTCCTAAATTGCTAATTTCATGTTGCCACCTAGCTATGCATGATAAACTAATTAAAGTAATTCAAGTGCCCTTAATTGCTTGATATTGTTATCACCTAGTTTTCGCATGCTTAATTAATTAAATAAATAATTAAAATGGCTTAATTGTTTAATTTTATTTATCACTTAGTAACCATACTAATTAAATGAATAATAAATGAAGTGACCTTAATTGCTACTTGTAACCCCCACATAAATTGCGTGAGACACGGTCGGGACCCACATTTGTGGACCTCGAGGGATGCCTAACACCTTCCCCTCGAGGTAATTTGAACCCTTACCCTGATCTCTGGTTCGTTGACCTTAGTTAGAAATAGCTAGGTTAGATAGGTGCCCTAACGCGCCTTAATTCGTTAGGTGGCGACTCTTCAATCCACCCAAATCTCAAAAGAGTTGTTAGGTCGTGCATCCGAAAGGAAAACCCGTTTTGAGAAAAACGGGGCGCGACACAACTATTAGGAAATAACTGAATATTAGTGAATAAGCTAGACCATAGAGGAGGTAAACTTTCTCTCAAACAATTTACCCCGAATCAAGTCAATTTCTCTCGTACATCAACAAGCATGCAAAATAAGAACAGCCTATGCCTTAGTCCATTCACTCTCTCGAGTTAAATGTGTGGAAAAGGGTTTAGGATTCACTCTCTCGAGCTGAACCTATGACAACCCAATACCCACAGACCATCAATCAATAATCTTGGTTTTAAAACCTCTCTCTTGAGCAAGCCAAAAAGACAAAGGTAGAACTGCATTTACAACTACAATTCTTTAAATTAAACCACAATTACTGATTGAAATCACTTCTAAACAACATTTAGACTAACAATTAGCAACACCCATAAATTAAATCAGCCCATAATCACATAATCACACACTAAGAATTAGGGTTTTAGCTAGACATCATAAAAAGATAAAAATCGTTACCAAATTGAGTTTCCATCAACTGGTAAGATTAATTTCATCCTTACAAAGGTCCAAATTGAAGAATCTCAAAGACCCACTTTGAATTTCTCAGAAGTGAAAAACTTCAATTCTTCAAAGCTAAGGAAAAACTTATCACAATACTCAGAGTTTTAAAAATATTCAGAAATATGATATTTGCTAATGATAAACAGCTTCAATTTTTTCTAAACTAAATGTTTAAAAATGTATTTATAGTCGCCCAAAATATGCTGCGAAGGACCATTCGGCACAGTAAGTTGGGCTCGCCGATCACCCCGGCAATCCGCCCTTTTGTCAATGTCCTCGCCTTTCTGCATTGGCCTTCAGCTTCCTCAAGTTCTGTAACTTTAGGCGATCCAACACTGCTTCCCGGAACCACTCATCGATCCATCAACTTCTCCTTTCTCTCATGTACTTGATTTTCTCCTTCAGGGCTTGGCACACTAGAACTTTAGGCAGTCAAGAGGCCGTTCGGCGACTCGCCAAAGGGACTTGGTGATCACCAGGCTCTTATTTCTCCGTTCTTTCAGCTCGCTTTGTTCCTTTTTGCAAATTAGTGTCCATGCTTTGTTCCTCAGTCCATATACCTGGAAATTAAGGGTTTTTCATCAGTTATTGGCACAAAATAAGCATTTGAGGACACTAAATCATTGTAAATAAAGCCCTAAATAAGTCCAAATCTCGGACTCATCAGTGAACATATGTCGGATATACTCGATCAATCAGTAGATGCGATATCTTTGAACCGTTGATCTTTGGTGTATACCTAGCTAGACAACCATATGTCACACAATTAACCCTTTACCATTTATAGTTCTTACGGTTGTGTTTGTTTCAGCCATGAGCACCTCCTGGTTGCATGAGTGTATAGAAAATAAGATTTTGACAATAATTCTCCTTGAAGCGGCTTACACTTCATACTTACATAGGTGATTTCTAACCGTGTCATCACGTAGATACATTATTTGGTCAAGTCTGCCAAACTTAGAAAATCATTAAAAACTTTATGCTTTATTAACTCATTAACAAGCCTTAATGTTTTAACCTCATTCATGAACATTGTCTTCATCATGAGAATGGATTGAGTTTATTGACAATGTCAAACCGTTAGTCACAACTTTGTTTTTCTCCTTAAATCTTGCTCTTGGGATCTCCAGTCTTCTAGATAGAGTTACTGCCATGATGACTTGTCCTAAGCCATAAACCCATTCCCTTAGATGTTCTTTCAACTTTCTCTCTAGTTAGGCCTTTTTGTAAGTGGATCCGACACATTATCCTTTGACATTACATAGTCAATTGTGATAATTCCACTAGAGGGTAGTTGTTTTCTAACGCTATTATGTCTATCTCTTATATGACGAGACTTTCCATTATACATCATGATCCATGCCCTACCTATTGCATCTTGACTATCAAAGTGTATGCATACTGATGCCAAAGGTTTGGACCAAAATAGAATATCTATCAAGAAATTTCGGAGTCTTTCAACTTATTCACCGGCCTTATCTAGAGCACCTAGCTCAGAGATCATTGTAGAGCTAGCAATACATGTCTTTTTTGGAAGATTTCCAAGACACTTCTCCTCCACCAAGAGTAAATACATATCCACTCGTGGATTTTACTCCATTTGATCCCGGTGATCCAATTTGCATGACTATATTCTTTCAATACTGGTGGATATTGTTATAATGCAAGACATAGTTTTGAGTATGTTTTAAATACCCCAAAACTCTTTTCATTTCCATCCAATGAGTTTGATTGGATTATTTGTGAACCGACTCAGTTTACTAATAGCACATATTATATCTGATCGCGTACACTTCTTGATATACATCATACTTCCCAATACTCTAGCACAATCCAATTGTGAGTCACTTTTGCCTTCACTCAATTGAAATGCAAAGATCACATTTATTGGAGTCTTAACAATATTGAAATCCAAATATTTGAACTAGTCAAGTACCTTTTCGATGCAATGAGACTGCGACAATGCTAAACATTATGGAGTTCTAAGGATTCTTATACCTAAGATCTCATCATCAACTCCAAGATCTTTCATATCAAACTTATTTTTTAGCATACGTTTAGTAGCATTTATGTCATTAGTGTCTCTATTGATGATCAACATGTCATCAATATACAAACAAACAATGACCGTGTGATTTTAATGTAAACACATTTATCACTTCCATCATTCTTAAATCCATTTTCCAACATGGTTTGGT